AATATACCTCTAGAAACAGTATTCATTTATGCAGTTAGTTATTTTCTTTATTTCAATTTATGTAATATAATTAAATATAATACGAAATTTTAATATTTAAAACTTATCTATTAAAACTTGTGGAATCTTAAACACTTTATCAATTAAACGAATTAATTCACAAACAAAGTCATGATTCTAGGCGGAGTCAAGAGTGAAGTTTATGAATCCAATCGAGATTTTAGTCTATCGAGTTATGAAATAATAAATTAAACAATTCAATAAGAACTTTTAAAGACGAACACAAAGTTTAAACCTTTAAAAGCTATTCCGTTCAACCAAACTCATAACCTACTCTGATTACATGACATAATATTTGTATGACTTAAAAACATTCATTAAAAATAAAATAAAAAATTTAATTTTCAAATATAAAAATATATTATAACTATGAATATCACATAAACTGAAATACTAGAATATTAAATTAATACGACCATTCACATATAAAGAAGCGTTTAGGTGTAATGCAAAATTATGGTTTGCACGTCATGAGTAGTGACCTTCCATGACATATATTAAAAAATTCTTTTAAAAATTAAGTAAAATCCACTATATATATATTTATAAATTCATAAACATACATGTTATCTTTTATCTTTGAACAAATATTATTTAGAGAAATAAAGTGAGAATTATGAAAATGAATATAGTTTTTATAGCCTCATTAATTTTGGTGTTTTCTAATTTTATTGAAGCCTCAGATGGAATGGATGTTATGCATATTTCTGGCAAAGTTCTTTGCCAAGATTGTACTCAAGGATGGAATGAATGGGTTGATGGTGCCAAAGCCATCAAAGGTATGTAATTTATCGTAACAAAATTCAGAATTTAGACGTTATAAATTTTGAACTAATATAGAGAATAGATTCATAAATCATAAATGTATAACTTAACTCTATCTACGTAATGTCTAAACACGTCTATCTATGTCAGATGAACACAATATATGAAATTAAACACATCTATGTAAGACAGACTGAAATTATCAAATTGTGATATGGGGATGAATAGAAGTGAATAATATTATAGTTGTGTGAATTGTATTATGATCCATTGGTTAACTTATTTTTACTTATTTATATTAAACTTTGAATTTATAATATATTTAGTTGTTCACTCAAAAAATTGTTGGCAAATGTATAATATATGTATATATTATGTATACTGCCGAGAGGCTATAAATATTTTTGGCCGAAGCAACGACATACAATAACTTATTTATAAATTCAATCCATTTTGATCCGTCTTATCATATTTAACATATAAGATCACATTCATTGTGTAACTTGCATCGAATCTCGTGCAGGTAGCATCGTATCTCTGACGTGCCTGGACGAGAGAAGAAGAGTGATGTATTACGGAAGTGACCTCACAGATGAAGCTGGAATTTTCGATTTGATTGTTAACCAAACTTGTCATGGCAAAACAATTAAGCCACAAAATTGCTTTGTGAGATTGGTTTCTTCACCTGATCCTGTTTGTAATATTGCCACCGACTTCGCCGGAGGAAAATCCGGTGTAAAGCTCCACCGTCCGACGGTGGTTTACCGGGACTTGCTCAAATATGTGCTTAGCCCTTTCTACTACACAACT